AGTTTTAAAAATACAAATGAGAATACAAATAAGATTATCTATTTACTTGAAGACAAGTTGTTAATTAAAAGTCTAATATATATAAGGTCACACAAAGTAGTTTTTTCATTTTGCATTACATAAATTTCAAAACTCCTAGTTGGTCAGTTGAATTTTTTTTTTTTTTTTACAGACAAATTTTTTTCTATCAGTGCTATCAGATAATTCTGAAAAAAAAAGGCCTTCCTCAGATAATGACAGATTAATTAAAAAAAAAATTAAATTGACAAAAATAGAATAATTATCTCAAATTGAGACTTAAATAATATTTAATTTGCACTTATCGATCCAGGTTATATTTTGTTACTGAAATCTAGCATTCTCAAGATTCTAACCAGTTATTAATTGCTGTTGTATGAATTTTCATGAGTAAGCAGATCTATTCTTGTTTTGGCTAATTTAAATTATGTTTTTGTCATATTTTTAAGTTGAGCAAATATAAATTACAACTTATGTATTTATATTACTTGTTCTATTGTGATTATAGATACATATTTGTGCAAAAGTATTGAGATTTATTAATTTTTAGTTAATAAAAATTCAAATGCCTGTTGTATCTGTACAGATTAAGGTAGAAACTATAAAGGTAAACTGGATTGGCATTTCTGTTTCTAAAGATATTACAGTAAGACAATTTTATGAAAATCTTATTGCAAGAAAAATTATTCCTAAAGTGCAGTTAAATAATGAAGACCATTTGCAACTAGTTAAAGTAGAATTTTTATTCAACACAGCTGGACCTTTTAATATTGTTAGTATGGAATGTAATATAATTGAGACAATTGAAGCTTAGAAGAAGAGAATATATTAATATCAAACAAATAGCTCAATATCATTATTGCCTAAAATGCTAATTAACATCTTTTCACAAATAATAAATGATGATACTAGTTTAAATTATTTACCAATTTATAGTAGAGGCCTGTGTTGGGTCCCGCAGCCCAGCCTGGTCTGGCCCGGCCCACAAATTTTTGCGGGCCGGGCTTGGCCTGAAGCAAAATTTTATAATTGTGGGCTGGGCCAAAAAATTTGCAAAACTTTATAATTGCGGACCAGTGCAGGCCTAAAAATTTGTAAAATTATATAAGAAATTTTTGTAGGCCAGGCCAGGCCAGGCTAGGCTAAAGAAAAAATTTAATATATGCAAGCCAGGCCAGACTGGCAAAAAAATAGTAACCCTA